TGAATTGCGTTATAATGAATCAAATTATATCCATGGTATGTCATGTTTTAATTTCCCAAGGAGACATGTAGTCGTTTGAATGGACATATAGCTAGATTCTGGTGGGGATCCTCTAGTAATCTAGACCATCCCATTCATTGGGTCTCGTGGAAAGGAATTTCGCAAAGCAAATTTCATGGTGCACTGGGATTCAGGGACTTCCAAGCCTTCAACCAAGCTTTGTTGGCAAAACAATGTTGGCGTACATGGACCGATCCGGACTCCTTACTTAGTAAAGTCTATAAAGAGCGATATTTCAACTCTCACTCAATCCTGGATGCTAATCTAGGGTCCAATCCATCATGGGGCTGGTGTAGCCTCCTCTATGGCAGAGACCTTCTTCTACAAGGGTTGCGTTGGCAAGTGGGTGATGGCCACAACATTGATGCATTTTATGATAACTGGATCTCAGCGATTAAACAGGAAAGCCCGGTGATCCGGTTGGGCAATATTAACTCTTCTCTGCGTGTCTCTTATTTTATTAGAGAGGGTACAAGGGAATGGCATGTCTCGCGGCTTCAATATTGTTTTCACTCACAATCTGTTGAGTCTATTTGCAAGATGGCCCTGCCTCGGACTCCTCAACCAGACACTAGGGTATGGCACTTTACCAAGAATGGTAAGTATTCAGTTAAAACAGGATACCACTTGGCATTAGAAGGAATTCTGGATCCAATGAGAAAATCGCTTGTCCAAATCATTGATCCCCCAATATGAAAGAAGACTTGGATCATCCAGACTCCTCCCAAGCTAAGGTTTTTCATCTGACAGTGTCTTAGAGTGGTCCTTCCGACAACAGTGGCACTCAGGTCTCGTGGAGTTAATTGCCTGAGACGTTGTCCTGTTTGTTGGAGATTTCGAGAAAATTTAGAACATTTGTTCTTTACATGCCCCCTTGCCATCCAGCTATGGTCTTTTGCGGGATTAGACGATGTACGCCCTTTGGCCCCAATTATAAATTTCAGTATCTGGTGGCGGCAATTTTCGCTAGGTCAGCATTCCCAAACCCATATTCTCCAGGTAGTATGCCTCTTATGGAGAATATGGAAATCTAGAAATTCAGTGGTATTTGAAAATACCCAACCTCATGTCCATTCACTTGCCCGCCAATACTCTTTTCAGATCCGTGAAGTGCTCTCTTCCTCGACTCCTTGCCCGCCTTCCCCTCCCCGCGTGCCTGCGACTGTTTCCCTTTGTTGGCTACCCCCGACCCCGGGCCATTTGAAGATCAACTTTGATGCTGCCGTTCAAGACTCTGGTTGCTCGTCTAGCCTTGTGGTTCGTGGCTCGGACGGGCATGTGCAACTCGCCGTCGGTGTTCAGCATCAGGGTATTTCTGACCCGTACATAGCAGAACTCCTTGCTGCTAGGGAGGCAATCTCGCTTGCAATTTCTAGAAGTTTGGCTCGTGTCATCTTTGAAGGAGATGCAGAAGTGGTCATCAGTCATCTCAAACTCGGTGTGGTGGAGGATTCGTCTGGTGGTCCGCTGCTTAGAGATTGTCATTTTCTTCTTCAGTCTTTTCCTCATTGTATAGACTGTAGAGTTGTTCCGCGGACATCCAACTGGGCTGCTCATAGAGTGGCACGCAAAGCCCTGTTGTTGTCCAGGTTAGAATTAGCTTCTTTTGATTTTGTTGGGTGGCTAGCTAGTGGGATAGGAAGGGATTGTGGGTAGTGTTATTTCTAACTATTCTCTTGGCATTTCTCGGAAAAAATAATTATATCCATGTATAATTCAATTATATTTTGATTCTCTAACTTTAAGAATTTTGGTAGCGTTCGATTCTATTGGATCTCTCGAAAGAAAAAAAAAATCATCAAAATTTGGTTCGTGGTCTAATATTTAATGTGTTTTTATCCAATTTCAGTCGTATTTCTAATGAGACCGAACCATTATTTGTATAATGGGATGAAGTGATATAAAATTAATCTTTTAACCTTTCCATATGTAACTCGAGTTACAGGGTCCAATTGGTTGTTGATATAGCATCATATCTTTTTTTAAATTATAACACCCTTCATATGGACGGTTGATTGAACCAATGATATGACAGAGTTATACAAGTTTCAAACCCGTAAGTTCATTTTTTTTTTGGTGAAAACCCCGTAAGTTCATTTTGAGAGAGCATGTAACAAATTTCTAAATTTTATTTTTAAACTATCTACTAATTATTCGAATTATTTGTCTTAAAAATGATGTTTATTATAGATAAATTTTACAATGCTTTATAGCATTGATACTTTCATCTATTCTTGTATTTTTCTCGCGCCTTACTTCCCTGTTTTCTTTTTCCTGCCATTCTTCCAATTCGTTTACTACGGCCATCCCATTGCTTTAGCCTTTAGGGTTAGAAGGATAGGAAAAAGGGTGCATCAAGTTCATGCTCTACCCACTATGCTAGGTATGTTATTATTTTAACAAAGGGTGAAATTGGGGGCATAAGGATGAACACAAACTCTTTGAATGGCCTTTTTTACCCCTACCCATTAACTTCCTCCTTGCCAAGAGTCTCTCTTTAACATCTAAAGTATTTGCCAAAACAAGTAATTTGGTTGGTATGAGCTTATACTTAGTTACTTACTACTTAGTTCGTTGAGGTTGGATGCTTGCTTGGCCATCTAGGGTGGTGAAAGGACTGTGACTAGTCGGGTTGTGTTATGTCACTCTATATTCATATTTTGATAACAAATATCCTTTCTATCGATTGTTTTGAATCAAGTAACATATACATGCGGATATGTTTTATTTGGCATGAGATCTAGTTTATTGGAAAATAAGTATTCTAATTGAGACGCTACTAAATAAACAAACTTTATGCCTGATGCATGTGTAGAATACTAATAACATCAAATAAAACACCGTTAATATGAAAGACTTTATCGCTTAAAGGTGTGCTACAGAGTACAGAAGCTTCTACGTAAACAACATGTTGAAGGGCTAAGAATGCTTTCTACCCGAAGCCATGCCAAAATCCTCCACATACCACATAACTATGGGTGGCTGCCTACCTCAAATGAGTGTTGAACAATGAACTCTATGAAAAGTTGTTACCTTGAAAACATACATTATGAGCAATCAAGTAACGTATATATGTGAGTATATATGCCCTAATAGATAGGAGATCAAATTTACTGAAAACCAAGTATTTTAATTAAGATTCAGTATTGGTAAAACCATATGATAATCATGCTACAAGGGTAAAACACTAATAACATCAATTGACACACCATTGACTCGGGAGACTTTATGGCTCAAAGGCATGTTTAAGGCAGGCTTCTACATAGGCTAAAAAAGTTTTATTTCTCAAGGCATGCCAAAACCTTCAAAACTACCACATTAGTGTTGAACAACATGAATGATCATTACCTAGAAAACATACATAGAGAGAGATTTTCTGCCATTTTCACAAAAGTGTATGGTATATGGTATGTCAAAAACAAATGTGGTGGAAAATTAACAAAGTTTTCTACTTCTCGTATGTGTAAAACCAAGGACCTAAGACACAAGAAGGCTTGTTTTACCTAGGGTTGAAATCAATCATATGCCCAGCAAAGTAATTAAACTTTAACACCATTGCCACATTACATCACCAAGTGCTTCAATTGTAAGAAATTAAACTAAAAGAAATTGTATTTTGGTAGGGCCATGGCCAAATCCTGTTTGGAGTGCATCCAATGGTGTGGTGGTGAGAGAGTGGGAGGTGACCATGTCCATGTACATGCCTCTTTTAATATATCTCATCTGTTTTCCTTTTGGGGCCATTCTATTATTATTTAATTAATGTGTGTTGTAGGAAGAAAATAACCCCCAAAACCCCAAGTTAATAATACTTATCAAACACATCATCATGTCATCACTTACATAAGGCTATAAAACAAGTATTTATTTCATTGTAGCAATAAAAATAAAATGGAAATGAAGAGAAGAGAAGAAAGCAGCCAAGCCAAACAAGCCCTCACCTCCTTGTTTCCTTCTCCCTTTTTTGGTTGTTCTAAGGTCATGGCTATCCTTCCTATTTTTCTAGCTGGGAGAAAGCTTTATTTATCTATTTTTATTACTTTGGTTTTGATATCCACTTATTACATTTTGCTCCCATGTTCTTATTTCCGTTTAATTTTATGGGAAAATTGTGGCCTTTTTCTTACTTGCAATAATGATTCCATATTTGCCCAAGAAAGTCTGTGTTTATGAGCTTTCCTTGTTTGAGGAAAAAAAATGTCAACAAGAACCCATTGAGAGGGGCAAGAGGGGAAAGAAAAGTCTACAGTCAACATTCCCAAAAAAATGCAATAACAATTAGTTAATTACAATAACAACTTATAATAATGGTATTCATATCTCCAACCCACTTCGGTTTATATTGAATTGAAAAAGTTTATGGATAACTTACAAAGAGATAGTAAAAATAAAAGTGTAATGCTGAATTATAATTCGACTCATATCTAATTGAATGGATTTCACATCAATCGATCAATATGAAATTCGAGACATGTTGTTTTAGATGGTTGTTGGTCCCAACATTGAAATCAAAGGCGTGGTGAACTCATATAATCACTAGACTAATTCCTTAAAACATCAAAATTAAATTTTTAATGTTTTAGTTTTATTCTATTAATGAGAAAATGGAGTAACGAAGATTTATAATTAAATCAGACATAACCAAATTTAATTGCACACTCATTTTTATAGTTCTAATGGATATATTTTTCTCATTTTTGACTTGGACATTTGGTTATGAACCAAATCAAATCACACCATTTCTCAACAAAAGAGTGGAAAATTAATGAACAAAAAAAGCTTTCAATAGACATATTCAAGTGCTAATCCCAAACCCACTCTTAAAACCACCACACCACACAAGAAGAAGAGAAGAGAGGAGAGGAGATACAAAGCAAAAGGCAAAGAAAGCCCCAACATTTACTTCTTATACAATACAATACACTTCTTTTTCTTCTCCTCCTCTTCCCCTCCGTTGTCCATCTCCTCTCTCCCCCTCACATTTCACCTTCCATCTTTTTTCACAGCCATTTATTAGAGATTCCTCTACATGGTCTTTTCTTCTCTTGTTCATTGCGGTGTACAGATTCCCAGTTGATAATACCCATAAAAAATCTCCTTTTTGCATTTCTTATTTGCTTCTTCTTCTTGCCGGGTGTTTGTTTCCTGTATTTGGGTACCATTTCAATGTTTGCTCCTTCGTCTTTTCTGGGTTAAAGTTTTTATTCTGCTTCACCAACTCCTCTCCGGGGAAAACACTCTTCTGGGTTCCGCTTTCAAGAAGAAAAAAAGCCGTCTTTTGCCCACTGCTGCCTTGTACTGCCCATATTCAGGCTTCCAAAACAACACACCAATTTCTTTTTGTTTTGCAGAATTCTGGGGAAGTTTCGATAATTTGGGTTTTCCTGTGAATTGGTTTTCTGTTGGAATTACTTCCTTCGAGAAGAGAGAGAGAGAGAGTGTGTGTGAGAGAGAGAGAGAGAGAGAGAGGGAAGGAGGAGAAAGTGAGGTAGAGAGTGACTTATGGGGAAGCAAGGGCCCTGCTATCACTGTGGAGTTACAAGTGAGTTCTTGGTTATGAAAATGGAGTGGGGAAATTGGATTGACGAATTGCTTACAGTATCTTCAAATTAATATTGCTATCTAATCAATTTTCGCCTGTTAAGAAAGAAAACGAAGAATAATTCATTGACCTGATGAATGCCAAATATGAATGATTGAAGAGCTGGGGGTGGACAACAAATGACACGATGAAATGAAATGGAGTGTGCTGTATTGTTGTTTATCTGCTCTCTCTTTCTCTCTCTTTGTTTGCTGATGTACCAGTATTCTTATTTTCCTCAGAAAATGATCAGACGAGTGGGTTTCTGGGTTCCTTGTTGGATTTGTGAAACTCTTTGGTTTTTGGGGTCTGCTGTTCTTGGCCAGCAGTGAGTTTCTGATTTGATTGAATGATGTTTTCTGGGTCCTGTTTCAAAGTAAACTTCAACAGAACCACTCAAACTATAATGGTTTCAAAATGCATTCATTCGGTGGAGGAAATGTGATTCCTTGGTGGCCTCTGCTGGCTTACTGATGAGTTCTTCAAAAACTTTCCTCCATTGAGCTGTCTCCTCCAAGCATTTTGTTCTGTCATTGCAGGGACCTTGGTCCATTTGTTGTTTAAAAGTTGAAACTAATGTGGCATCCAGGGACCAACTTGCAGTGATATGAAACAATGTTAAGCTGCTGGAGGGCAAGAGTTTTGTTTCAATGTCTAGCTTCTTTTACATTTGGTTGAACCCCTTCGTTACAGATAAACGAATGCCTTCGATTAGTTAAGCATGGTGCTTAGCTAAGTTCTGTCATTCGATCAAAATGTTATTTTGTAGGGACCTATTCTCCTACGCTTCTTAGCATCAATGAACTTTGTTTAAGAAATCGTTTGATAATCTTCACATGCTTCTTCCCAGTTTCAGCAATCCTTAAACAATCCGTTGATTTTTCCTCATGGCTATCTTGCGAGCTCACTGATCCCCTTCTTTGGTCTGCTCATTAGGAGCTTTCACATTGAGTTTTTGATTGCTGTATTACTGGTACAGGCTCGTGTTTAGGACCAGCTAAGGGATGCTACATTGCTAGCTAACATATTCAATTTTTGTTGTATCTGTTTGCTACAATTTGAGCTGCTAATTCTTGTAATTTGGCATTCATCAGCTCAATGAATTATTCTTCAGTCATTCATATTTGGCATTTTATGAGGGAGAATAAAATGCTTGTTGGATCAATGTCCATATGGTTTCTAAAATAATTCCTTTTAATTTCATCTATTAAACTTGTGTATTTGATTTTCTTTTTGGGGATTAGGCACACCACTTTGGCGCAATGGACCCCCTGAAAAGCCGGTGTTGTGCAATGCTTGTGGTTCTAGATGGAGGACAAAGGGAACACTCGCAAACTATACACCTCTTCACTCCCGGGCAGACCCTGATGATTATGATGATCAGAGAGTTGCCAGACTGAAGAACATATCTCTTAATAGAAACAAAGAGATAAAACTTGTCAAAAGAAAGCCAAACCTTGATGCCGGGGTGGTTGGAAGAATGGCCTCTGATTATGTGCAGAGTAGCCAGAATGTTATGGATGAAGATGTAAGTAATAGATCGAGTTCAGGATCAGCCATATCTAACTCTGAGAGCTGTGCTCAATTTGGCAGCATGGATGCAAGTGAATTGACTGGTAAGACCTTCCTTCACATGCTTCACTAATATTCATCTTAATGAACTGCAGAAAATGCTATTTGTTCTTGTGAACTGCTGGTCAAAATGTTTCGTGTATATTGGTATTGGGGAAAATGGATACTCGAGTCGGTTCAAGATAAGAGTAATAAGGAAGTGATCATTTCAATGTCATGGTCTTATGTGCAAGTTTTTGTTCTACTAAAATTCATAATTGATTTCTCATCCTATGCAAACTTTCACACCATGTATTTTGTCAGGTCCATCTCAAACAGTTGTCTGGGACTCAATGGTACCTTCTAGAAAGAGAACATGCGTGAATCGTCCAAAACAATCCCCAGTCGAGAAGCTTACTAAAGATCTTTACACCATCTTGCATGAACAGCAGTCTTCTTGCTTTTCTGGTACGTCTGAAGAGGAATTGCTTTTTGAGAGTGAAACTCCAATGGTTTCTGTTGAGATAGGACATGGAAGTGTTCTCATCCGGCATCCTAGTGCAATAGCTCGAGATGAAGAGTCTGAGGCTAGCTCACTTTCGGTTGAGAACAAGTGCTACCCAGCAAATGAAGCTTATTCCCACCCCGCTAATTTTAGTCATGCGTATAATGGAAACAACAAGTACATCAAGACTCTTGATCCTGTGATTGAGAAACCTGAGTACCTTCAGGGACAAGGAATGCTACCGCAGGAACAGCTTAATAGGTACATCTGCATCATGCTGTAGTTGTGAATAACTTCAGGAACAGAAGAAATCAGGATCAGCAGTTCCGAAGCTTACTGGCATGCTTCTATTATTGAATTTCAGGGACAAGTCTCAGCATGAGAAAGTGCAAATTCTTGGACATCATAACTCACCCCTGTGTAATATTGATCTGAATGTAAGTTAACATTTCTTTTTTCTCCTGAGATGCTAGGAAATATCCCCTTATTTGAAGGTATACATATGTTTTTCTTTTCCGCCCAACAAGATGACCTCTTTCTAAACATCCTCCTAAAATCATAGGGGCTCTCACAAATTTTCACTGTTATTGTGCTTAATTTCAATCCTATGAATGATTCACCTCAGCAAGTTATTCCATTTTGACTTCGGTTGCAGTCCTTGTATACTTAACTATTGTCAAACAATCAACTTAACTTGCACAAAGATGTAATCAGAACATTATTCTCTTTTACTTGAGTCGTTGATTTCCAGTGTGTCTGACAATGCCTGCTCATTTTACATACAGTGTGTCCTTAACTTCGAGGAGTTTTCAAAACACTTGACGAGCGAAGAGCAGCAGCAGTTGCTCAAATTTCTGCCTGCACCCGATACTGGCAAACTTCATGACAGGTTAGTCTTTGTACTATGCTGACTGTAATACACCATTGCTTTGATTTTACGTGGAATCAGAAAGCGTAGTTATGGCTTAGTATTGACTTTTTGTTGACATCTAACAGCATCAGAAGCATGTTTGATAGCCCTCAGTTCAAGGAGAACTTGTCTTCCTATCAGCAACTTTTAGCAGAAGGGGTCTTTGATCTAACCTTCTCAGGGGTAAAGACTGAAGATTGTAAAACTCTCAAGAGACTCGCTTTATGCAACCTCTCAAAGTCCAAATGGGTTGAGCACTGTCATCTACTCAAGGTCTGAACTCTGATTCATTGGATTCACGAGCATTTGTTATATGATTCATTTGACAATGATATGATACTGAGCTCCATTGTGCCCTTTTCTTGGTATAGAAATGCAAAAACAGCCCTGGAAAGTTTCCTGCTGTACAGGAACCTAATGTGGCATCAAACTTTTCTACTACAGGCAAAAGACCACGTGAGAGCTCGAAGATCCCAGGTCAGCTACCATCCTTGTTAGATTGACTGCTGACAGTATGATGCTTGTTTAAGAGTGCTCTATCGTGATTAGATGCCTATGGGGTTGTTTGGACGGTGGAATTTGGCCATGAATGTCATCTACATTTCTTTGGAATGATTCAAACGTTAGGCATTCCATAATCTGGTTGGTCATTTTAAGGCTGATTGAACAGAATTCAATGGCACCACTGGCTGGAATGTAAATTCCGTGAGTGACGGGGTGAAATACTGAAATTGTCCAATCCCATCATCCAGTTACCCCTTCAAAAGACCCAAATTTACATCAATGCCAGTATTTCTTCTATATCATGATCTTCTGAGTGCTTTAAATCATGTTTTCTTTTTCAGAGGTGAAGATGATGATGAGCCCGAAAAGGAGTTTAACCAAGGCAGGTTATGAGAACACTAGTAGGGAAATCATGGACAACGATGCATCATGCTTCAGCCCTAAGAGTCTATTCGCGTTGCCTACTGAGGGAGGTGGATCCTTCGTGCTGGACTCCCTCCATTTCGTCGACGAGAGCTCTGATCAAGACCTGCTACTGGACGTGCCGTCCAATGGCTCTTTCCCGCAGGCAGAGCTGCTTCATCCAGCTATGAGTTTTGGCGGGCAGCATGCAAGCACTAGTAGTAGCTCAGTGTACCCACATCATCTACTTCGTAATCATCCCTGATAAAAAAACTTTAACACCAGGACTTATATATATAGAAAATTCTATATGTGCAATACTTTTTTGCCAAACAAACAAATGAAACAAGTACTGAAATGAGGCCTGGTGATGGTTGCTTGCTCTTCACTCAACCCTTTTCCCCCTCTCTTCTGTGTTTTTGCCTCTTGATCTCTAATAGAACTCAGTCAAGGGGGAAACTTAGGTGGGGAATGGGGTTCTTTTTTGTGTTTTTGTATAGGTTGAGAAGATATATTGTAAAATATAGATGGGTAAGAAGAAAAGATGCAACCTATTTTCAAGGTGGAGAGTTTTCAAAGAGTGCCGTTGTATGTAGCTTTTATTTGCAGAAAGATGAAACAAAAAAAGAGAACCTGGAAGAATGGCAAAGCTAAACATCTTTTTTTTTTCTAGCCCTTTTTTGTCCTCTTTGCGCTTTGTTGTTCTGCTTTGGTGGAGGATTGCTTAGCTAGTGACACCGAGGGAGGCGATTAGGTGGTGTGTTCAATCCGGTCTTCATCATGCATGGATTCTAGATGTACTAAGGTGATGATTGACAAGATTAATTCGAGATGTACGCGGGATTGTAAAAGTGGAGCAGTGCTAGAGGAGATTAAGGATTGTTTGAATATTTATTCGTAGTTAGAGGTCCAGTTTGTTGGCAGACAAAACAATCGGGTAGCCCATTTGATGGCATAAAAGAACCCTTCTTTTGTTTCCTATTGGATGTAATGCTTTTGATTTTTGTTCTTGACTCTAGAGGGAGCTTATACCTATGTAACTAGTTGTTCCTTGGTAATACATGAGATATTTGTGTTAAAAACTTAAAATAAACGGATGAGAATAATAATCAAGATTCAATGCGGACCACTTTTCTGATCATCGTAATAATTTGGTTAGTTACAATAATAGATGATTCAAGATACATAATTAAATACTCATGAATCAGGAATCAAACTCTTGATAAAATTAGGTCTATACTATTGGGTCATATACTCATGAATGGTATTAGTTCACTCTATGTACTCTCTTTTTGTACCGAGAACTCATTTTTTGGAGTGGAGAAATGGTGGGCAAATTTGGGGATCCATCCATGTCAAACGGTCAGAAAGTTAAGTGTATAAAAAAGCTAAGGGTCGTTTGGATGGATCAATTGTAAAACGAGACAATTTGACCAATTGTTTCATTTTACAAAACGAGTCATTTAAAACGAGTCAATTCAGATTACCTGCCCCCACCAAGACAATTGTAATTGGCTCAAAATGAGTCAATTCAGAATTCCCCTGTCCAAATTGCTTCATCCAAATTTTCTGCTGCCAAACGGATCAATCTAGCACAATTGACTCAAAACGAGACAATTGTGTCAAATTGATCCATTAGAATTCCTCATCCAAACGACCCCTTAAGTAGCTAACTACTATTTTTGTTTCCTTGTAACTTGAGGGAACACGTGAACTTAAGGGCCTGTTTGGATGAGTGTTTTTATTTTTTAAACAATCATGAGTTTGGAAGAGGTGAGGATTTTTACAATTAGTAATTTTAAAAACCCTCAAACGTGGGTTTCTAAAATAGCTTATGGGGATCAGCTATTTCTAAATCTCTCGTTTTTGTTTATTTTTTTCCTGCCCTTACCCCTAACTAAGTTCCTTATTCCATCTTCCTCTTTTCTACAAGTAACCTTCCTTCTTTCTCCTCCGCCAACTACTCTTCCTCCGTCCAAGACTTATCCCGCCAGTATCGTCCACCTACCAAGCTTCTCTAATCTCGCCTCAAAACTAGGTTTGCGAATTGGTGGCAATTGAAGCTAGGATTGAGCGGCTATTGAAGCGGATTCATGGCTTTTCATCGGCTGCATCTGGACCTGTCGATTGGAGGCGGGTTCATAGCTTGTCACCAGTTGCCGTCTTTCGATCGGACCACAGATGGGGCAAATCGGCAGACAGAGAAAAGAAGCGAAGGCGCGGGATATGGCCGACAACGGGTTCAACTTCCTCTCTTCTTCATCCAAGCAAACGGAGGACTATCAAGCACAGCTGGTTCTGGGTTTCTGGTGGCCAATGCTTCTCTCTTCTCCAATCCCGCCAAAGTTCTGGGCTTGTGATTTAGTGTCGGTGACGGCGATTTGGTGTCCTGTGCTGCTCTTTCCCCCTATGCAGCTAGGCGGATGAATCTTCAGTTGGGTTCTTTTTGGAGAATATAGGAAGCAGAACGGAAGAATAGGAAGATCAGTCGAGACATGAGACTCAATCTCATTGTCTCTCGCGAGCTCACAATTTCATTAGAGCCAATAACAAGGAAGGAGATTGAGATGGATCAATCAAGCTGTGCTGCAGCATTGACAGGAAGAGGCTCTGCTTCAGTCCAGCTAGACACGAAGAAGAAGAAGAAAGGAGAAGCAGAGCCAAACGGCAGTGTATAGATGAAGTGATGGAGTGCTGCCGTTTCACTTAGTCGTTAGGCTCTTATTTCCGGTTTTACTGTACAGCAACACGTGCTTACTTGTAATTGGTTAGATTAGTTGTTAGTTGTAATTAGCCGTTAGTGTACAGTGGATTAGGAACTCTGTATATATTTGAAACTTCATTCAATGGAAAGGCTCAACGAGCGATTCCCCCAGATCTGTCCATTTCTTCTTATGGTATCAGAGCCTGGTTGCTCACATTTTCGCTAGGGTTTCGTCCCTTAGTCTTTCCATTTCTTCAACATCTCCACCTCCTTCTTTTGTCTGAAAAATGTCTGGTGAAACGTCTGAATCTGATCTGAACAGAGAAGATCCATCCAAAACTGGATCAGGCAAGCTCGTTGCCTATGAAGATCCTTACCTGAACCCATACTACCTGCCGCCGCAGGATGGAGCTCTCTCTACCATCATCTCGGTCAAGCTCGTCGACGGCAACTACCACACATGGAGCCAAGTGATGCTGGTTGCACTGGGTACCAAAAACAAACTGGGTTTTGTTGATGGAACCATTCCACAGCCAGAGGTAACAGATCCAATCTATCAGTCTTGGTTGCGTTGCAATGGAACCATCCGTTGCTGGATTTACAATTCCCTTGCTGAAGACATTGCTAATAGTGTCATGAGGTTAGAGAGTGCAAAAGCTGTGTGGGATAATCTAAGGATCAGATTCAGTCAGGAAGACAATATTAGGGTTTTTGATTTGCAAACCCAGCTTGCTAAGTGCCACCAGGAGGACCAATCTGTGAATCAATACTTTACTAATGTCACTGTTTTGTGGGAAGAGCTTAAGAAGTACAGACCCATTCCAGTTTGCCCTTGCAATGGACCATATGAAACCCTAAAGAGATACCAGGACAATGACTTTGTGATTAAGTTTATGCAAGGGTTGAACCCCATTTACCAGTCAGCTCGTACTCAGGTTCTGATGAACCCTATCTTGCCTTCCATTGACGTTGTGTTCAAGCAAATACTTCAGCTGGAACGTCAAATGAAAGGTGTGAACAAGCAGGCTGGTGTTGAGTCTGTTGCTCTGGCAGCTGCATCAGGACAGCAGCATCCACAAGCTACTTCTAGGGACTACAAAGATGGGAAGAAGTATTGTAGGTACTGTAAGAAGGAGTTTCACACAGTGTATGAGTGCATTAAACTTAAGAACAAGAAGGCTAGGGAGGCTGGTGGTGTGAACTTTGCAGGATCTGTTGAATCCAATGTTAACAGTGAGAGTGCAGGAATGCATACCTCTCCTGTACCACCAAGACAAGATGCTGCATCAAGCTTGGCAAGCCTGCAACTGACCACTGATCAGATGGAGAAGCTAAGGTTGCTCCTGTTTCCCACACCACCTTCCTCACCATCACCACCTACCTCACCCTCCATTCGACACTCGGCTAATGCTGTGATTGCTACTCATAGCCAGACAGCAAAAGCTCCACAACAGCCTTCAAGTTCTAATGTCACTCAGTACCAACAAGTTTATCTCCCTTCCAGTTCAGGTATTACAATACTCTCAACCCTCTTGACAAAGTCTAATGAACCATTATGGGTTCTGGACACTGGAGCAACAGACCATATAGTGTGTCATTTGAGGTTTTTCCTTAAGCATAGACCTCTGACAGGGGTCTTTGTCAATCTGCCTAATGGCAATAAGGTAGAGGCCACACACATAGGAGTTGTTAAGTTGCCCTGTGGACTGTTTCTTTCTCAAGTCCTTTACATTCCTAGCTTCAACTACAATCTAGTTTCAGTTAGCAAACTGACCAAAAACAATCCAGTCTCACTTCTTTTCAAATCCTCTTTCTGTGTTATCCAGGACCTTATTACACAGAGGAGGATTGGTTTAGCCCAAGTGGATAGAGGTCTCTACTTGTTCAATGACTCCAAGTTCACTCATCCAGACTCAAACACTCTACCTCCCAGCTGTTTTGCTGCTTCTCATCTCAACTTCCAGCCACAAAGTTTTGATATCTGGCATGCCAGATTAGGCCATCCATATGTGTCCAGAGTAGAGACTATACACAAACAATTTCCTGATGTACTTCCTTCTAAGATTTTCCATTGTAATGTTTGTCATTTGGCCAAACAGAAGAGGTCTCCTTTTCCCATTAGTACCTCTGTTCATCCTTCATTGTTTGGTTTGCTACATGTTGACATTTGGGGCCCTTTAAATACCCCTTCCTACAATGGATTTCATTACTTCTTAACTATTGTTGATGATCAAAGTAGATGTGTGTGGACCTATTTAATGAAGTCTAAGGATGAAGTTAGAGGTTTACTCAAGTCCTTCTGTGTGATGGTCCAAAATCAATTTCAAAAATCAGTGCAAATCATTAGAACTGATCAGGGCCAGGAATTCCATATGCATGATTTCTATTCTGCACATGGAATTGAACACCAGATGAGTGTGGTTTACACACCTCAGCAGAATGGGAGGGTAGAGAGGAAGCATCAACACCTCTTAAATGTTGCCAGGGCACTCAAATTCCAATCTGGTCTCCCCCTCACTTACTGGAGTGAGTTTATTCTGCATGCTGCCTACTTGATTAACAGGATCCCTACTCCTGTCTTGAACAACATCAGCCCCTATGAAAAGTTGTATGGGGTTCCACCTGATTACAGTTCCCTCAGAGTGTTTGGATGTTTGGTTTATGCATCCACAGCTGGCCCTCACAGGACAAAGTTTTTCCCTAGAGCTAAACAATGTGTTTTCCTAGGCATTCCAGTTGGGATCAAAGGTTTTAAGCTCCTTGACTTAGACACTCACAGGGTTTTTTGTTCTAGGGATGTAGAATTCCATGAACATATCTTACCTTTTTCCTCCTCTACATCCACTTCTACAATTCCTACTGATTCTGATCTGCCCTCCTCACAAACCTTCTTTCCTTCTGTCACTACTCCACTACCAGACTTCCCTTCTCCTCCCTCTCCTACCACTGATGAGGTCACTGTCTCTGATGACCATCAGTCTGAGGGGGGCATCCCTACTCCCACTCCTTCTTCTCCCATTCCTTCTGTTGATCCTCCTGCTGATCCTCAGGACAGTCATTCTTCTTCCTCTTCTCCTTTTTCTGCAATTCATCATCCCAGTGCTTCTCCCCAACCATCACCATCTCATGTCCAGTTAAGGAAGTCAACCAGAACCATTAGACCACCTAACTGGCATGGAGATTATCACATCCAGTATCCCATACATAAAGCTTTATCCTATACACATTTATTGCCTAGACATCAACATTTTATCAACAGCCTTACATCTCACCTAGAACCAACTTCTTATCAAGAAGCTGCCCTTGATCCTAACTGGAATAAGGCAATGCAAGAAGAGTTGAAGGCACAGATTGATAATGGAACTTGGGAAATCACAGATTTACCAGTTGGGAAAAAGGCCATTGGCAATAAGTGGGTTTACAAGTTGAAGCTGTTTTCAGATGGGACAATTGAGAGGCACAAAGCAAGGATTGTTGCAAAGGGTTTCACCCAAATCTATGGCATAGACTACTGTGATACATTTTCACCAGTAGCTAAGTTAAGTTCTGTGAAGACTTTGCTTGCAGTTGCAGCTGTTCAGAACTGGCATTTACACCAGATGGACGTTAGCAATGCATTCTTGAATGGTGAATTAACAGAAGAGGTTTACATGACAATCCCACCTGGTCTGGATCTAGGAGAGGATAGCAAAGGTAAGGTTTGTCGCCTTAAGAAGTCCCTTTATGGTTTGAAACAAGCAAGCAGACAGTGGTACACTAAGTTGACTGAGAGCTTGTTAAAGAATGGTTTTAAACAGACATCCTCAGATTACTCTATATTCACTACACAGGTTCTTGGTGCACTAGTTGTGCTTATTGTGTATGTGGATGACATTCTTATTGGGAGTGTTTGTTTAGATGCCATAGCCAAGGTAAAGGGAATGTTGAAGGGTGAGTTTAAAATGAAGGACTTGGGAGAATTGAAGTATTTCCTGGGTTTGGAAGTCATTAGGGGAGTCAGAGGGATCACAGTGTCACAGAGAAAGTACTGCTTGGACCTCTTGAAGGAGTCAGGTTTTGAAGATTGCAAGCCTGCAGCCACACCTATATTTGTCAAAGAGGTTCTGTCATCAACTGGAGGAAGCCCTCTGGAAGATGTCAGTATGTACAAACATCTGGTAGGGCAACTACAATATCTGACCACAACAAGGCCAGATATTGCTTTTGCAGTTCAGCAACTCTGCCAGTACCAGGATAATCCCACTTCTCTGCATCTGAGGGCTCTACACAGGGTCTTAAGGTACCTGAAAGCTTCTCCAGGACAAGGATTGCTTTATTCCTCAACTGCAAAGCTGGAATTGAGAGGTTACAGTGATTCTGATTGGGCTACATGTCCAGACACCAGAAAGTCCATCACTGGATATTGCACTTTCATTGGTCCCAGCATCCTGACTTGGAAGAGTAAGAAACAGAAGACTGTGTCAAGGTCTTCATCTGAGGCTGAATACAGAGCATTAGCCAGCTTGAGTTGTGAAATTGAATGGTTAGTGAGACTGTTCAATGATTTTGGTGTTCAGATTCCACAACCTGTCAAGGTGTATTGTGACAATCAGTCAGCAATCCACATTGCTGAAAACCCAGTGTTCCATGAACGGACAAAACACATTGATGTGGATTGCCATGTGATCAGAGAAAGGATTCAATCAGGATTGCTCACTTTACATCATGTCCCAACAGATTTTCAACTTGCAGATATTTTTACAAAGAGTCTGTCGATTGATCGATTTGCTTTGTTGTTATCCAAGCTGGGAGTATATGATCTATACTCGCCAGCTTGTGGGAGGGTAACAAGGAAGGAGATTGAGATGGATCAATCAAGCTGTGCTGCAGCATTGACAGGAAGAGGCTCTGCTTCAGTCCAGCTAGACACGAAGAAGAAGAAGAAAGGAGAAGCAGAGCCAAACGGCAGTGTATAGATG